GTTTTGAAAAAATACTTGAACCTTTTTCAACAACAAATTCCTTTATTGCCTGGTTCGCCAAATAGTAGGGTGGTGAGTGTGATTTGTTGTCGTGTTGCCTTTTCCCAATCACCCATACGGGGTCCCCTCTCATATTTTCAATGATCTTCATTTCCTCATAATTCTCACCCTCTTTAACACAGGCTTGGCACTGAAGTTTCTTGGGGCCCATGATGGTTTTTAGCAGTTACAATCACTAAAAAAGTGGAAAATCCAAAATATGTGGAGGCACATGGGAAAAAAGACTGAAAGCTTGTAAACAATGGCCATGGTCTTGGAGTGGCTGGGGCCCCCTCAGGCCGCCTCCCAGCACATGGACATGTTCTGGACGAACGTGTTGGTAGAGTTTTTTGCCATGTTAGAAACATTTTTTGGCAAAAAGCGGTTTTGACAAAAATTGCCGTTTCTTAACCCCTTTGGGGGTTTCGGACGTATAGTTGTCTTACGACCCGGGTTTTTTTAATATAGTACGCTTAAAAATTTTGCCCCCTCAATTAGTGAGAGAAAATGGGGGCCCCACATATGTAAAAATGGGTCTATGTGGTCAATGTACGCAGTATAAAAAAAAATCCTGCACACACAGTTTCGTAATAGGGAAAAAAAAAAATTTGACCCTGTTTTTTGGGTTAAAACAGCAATTTTTCACGTATTTTCGAATGGTATTTATTTTCTTGGTCTAATTTTATAGATTTGGAAAAACATATTAAGAAATTGGATGTTTTGACTGATTTTTCAAAGAAAAAATACTTGAAATTGAGCTCAAAGTGCAAAATGTTTGATTTTTACCCCAAAATTCAAAAGTAAACAAATCATGCCAAAGGGCCATACACGTCAACTGGTGAGTCTAAATTTTTTTCACAAATGCGTGATTTTTTTATACCATTTTCATAATGCAGCAGCGTATAACAGAAATTTATTTTTTTTTTAAGAATAAAAATTTAAAGTGGAAAAACCAAAGAAATATAAAAAGGGGCCCGGGGGTGTGACTAACGAAAAGAGAACTTGTTTTTTTTAGTGCGGAAGTCTTTCTTGTTTATTGGACCCTATTCAGAAATTGGGACTTTTTAAAATTTGTGTAAATTGGCAAAAATTTCTAAATTTGACCACTTTTTTGGTAGTTCAATTGGTAATGGGTGGTTTTTTGTATCATTCGATGAAAAAAATGGAAAATTCCAGCAAAAAGTTAGTTTTTGTCGACTGAACAGGAAATTTTACCCAAATAGGGCTCAACGGGACAAAAACGCCGATGCGAAAAAAACGTCGAGACCCCTAAATTTGCGATAGGGATAATTCCTAAAATTTACCAACAAATTTATATTTTTGGTGTCATTTTTGATCGGGAAAAATTCTCTATTTTTTCATAAGAAAAAATTATTTTTTTTCTTGAAATTTGGCCGACCCCGAGAAAAAAGTCTTGAGAGGACCTGTCGACCCCCAAAAAGGGGTTAAGCAGCCGTTAGTTTGGGGTCCACTGTAATACTTAATAATTTTATTTTTTGTACCTGTGCCCCAAATAAACTTGCTGTGCTGGTGTGCAGGTACCATTAAAATCACCAGTGTCTTATTAGTTTTAGGCACCATATTTTAATGATAAAAATAAAAACCAATAATGTCCTCTGGGTGATTAAATGTGTATTTAGTTAATTAAAATTTTTATTAATCCATTTTGATATTTTTTTCACAAATTTTTTAATTTTTATATATACGTAACATATAAAATGATAATACACCCACAGTAAAATAAAATTAAAATAAATTGAGAGTTAATGTAGAACCAAAAACCCGATGATTTGTGTGTTGTTTACAAACTCAGGTCTCTCTCCTCTCTCATTTACTCGTTTTCTCTCTATTTATTCATTTTACCTTGTTTTGTACCTTCACCCCCACTTAAGACTACAATTTTTAAAGCAAGTAATGAGTGTATGTTTCAGGGACCCCCGGTTTTCGTGTTTAATCCGTTCCAGAGCGATCGGCCAAAACTGAAACCAGCCAAAAACCGAAACCCTTTTTTCCAAAAAAAAATTAAAGTAAAGAATTAATTCGTTCAGACACCCAGAAGTATTTAACAAAATTTTTTTTACTTTAAAAATAGTTTAATGACAAAAGAATGACATTCAACATACAGTTACCCTTTTTTAAGGCTGTTGTTTATGAATGAAAAAACAGGGGGAGGAGGGAGAGGGAAGGAGGTTATTTTTTGGAAGGGGAAACCCCCCCCCATAAGGACTTAGGTTTCAGGGTCACTTCCCCAGCCCCTTCCTAGCTTAAATATAGATTTACTGCAAAAAGAATGAAAATAACTGTTTTAAAACACTAATAAAAAAGTAAAAAATGAAAAATTTAACATCACACCTACCCATTTAAGACTCTTGTTGGTGAAAAGGCGACGGGGCAGAGGGGGAGGAAAAGGGGAGTTTATTGTTGGAGAATGTGGCATAATATCACTTACGGTTATTTACATCACAATTCAACTAATTGACATATTAAACAATATTAATAGCATAGAAACATGACACCAGTGGCCCCAGCTAAGATATTAATCGTTCCCGAAGTCTCGTATGCTGAAATTTTCGTTAACTGAATTTCCCCCTTAAAAAATAATTTGGGAAAACAAATTAATCGTGCAAGACACCACAAGTATGAACAAATTTTTTTTTTTCCCATGAAAAATTAATTTTAATACACACAAATGACACTTACCTTTATGAAATCTGGTGATGATTGATGAGATGGGAGGAGGGGGGGGAGTGTGGGGAAATTGTTTATGTTTAGAAGGGGAATCCCCTTTCCCTTAGGACTTTAGGTAGCACGTCCTTTTCCGGGTTATTCCCTTCTTCTTTTAAAGCCTGGACCCGCTGACCGAGGTACGCAACGCTGATTTGGTTTCGCAGCAGCTGACCGTGGTGCAACAACAGTGAGGTGGTGTGCGAAGCTTTATGTGGTGCAGCAGCAGCTGCTGTGGTGCAGCAGAGTGACTGTGGTGGCAGCAGTACCTGGTGAACAGCAGCTCACCGGGTTCAGCCCGCCCGACTGGTGCAGCAAAAGCGACCGTAGTGCAGAAAGCTAAAAAGTGGTTTTTAGCAGAAGACTGTGGTTTCAGCAGCGTTGACCGTGGGAAGCGCAGACTGACCTGGTGAGCGCAGCTGCCCTGGTTCTGCAAAAAAGTGACTGGGCAGCAAACAGCTGACCCGGGTGCGCAACAGTGCCATGGTTTCAGCAACAGCCCCTGTGGTGCAGCAACGTGCTGTGGTGCAGCAGAGTGACCCTGGGACGATAGTACATATTTTCACCCCTTTTTTCCACAGGGTTGGCACTAGAACTTTTTTTTGGGCCCCCTGGGGCTTTTTTAGCAGTTACAAGCACTATAAAAAATGGTTTAAACAAAATGTATCAAAAGTTGCATGCAACCGGCCACCTGGCTTGTTTAAAAAATGCGGCAGGGGGGGTTTGGAAAGGTTGGGGTGAGTCATGTTGGTCAGAAAAAAGTGATGGGGGGGTTTTCAGCAGCAGTGACTGTGGTGCAGCAGCGCTGACCCTGGTGGAGCAGCAGCTCCTGTGGTGCAGCACACTCACCGGGGTCGACTGACACCCAGGTACCCATTTTACTGATGGGGAACATAGACAACAGGTGGAAAGAAACACGCCCAATGTTTCTACTCTGGCTGGGAATCGAACCCAGGCCCTCACTGTGTGAAGCGAGAGCGTTAACCACCAGACCACCAGAGCCCCATCACACTTAAACAATGTATGTACTGTAATTTATAAATAAGAAATATTTACATTTTAATTTATAAATAAGAAATATTTACATTTTAATTTATAAATAAGAAATATTTACATTTTAATTTATAAATAAGAAATATTTACATTTTCATTTAAAAATAAGTAAGTTTATTCAGGTATACACAAATACAGTTACATACATAGATTATCATACATAGCAGCATATGTGTAAAGGACCCAGGATAACCCAAAAAATTCATGAGTGACATATTTCCATTGGTGTCCTTTTATACTTACACTTATATTTACTTCTATACTTACATTTTTATATTTACACTTACCTTGGAGGAGATGTTAGTTTAATTAGTTTGATGAAGGAGATGTTGGCAGAGGTTTAGGGTGGTGGAAGATAGCAGGGCGGTGTATGTTCAGCAGTCCTATACACATCCAACAACATTGGAGAGTTACTCTCATGTTGTTTTTCTATCGCTTACTCGCTTAACTTACTTGCTACACTGTTAGTTCTACACTTTATCACTGGCTGGAGCTATAGCCTTTATTGATACCTGCTGCTTTAGTATCATACTTATCGTAGAATAACTGAATCACTGCAGAAGGCACATTCTCCTCTCTTTCTCCCTCCTCTACTTTAGTACTTTGCTATGAGTTTTTTCTTGAATTCTATCGTGTTTCTCACCTTCTTTACCAAAGGGCTGGCACTAGGAGCATTCTTTGGGTCCATGGTGGCTTATTTAGCAGTTGCAAGCACAAAATCAATGAATTATTATGAAATGAGTTGTATGAACCTGTGGGGTGATGGTCACATGCTGGTATACAATGGCACACTGAGTGTGAATAGTGGGGGAACTGGCTTTGTGTGCGTGCTGACAGGCAGATGCGTACAAGAAAGTCGCCGAATCACGAGTCCAATCACGAACCACGAAGCTAAATTTTGCCAAAAAAAATTACCAAAAGTCGGATTTCACGAAAGTCGCAGCCGCCGAACGGCCGGGGTCCACTGTAGTTACTTGCTAAATTATATCTCCTATACTTCAAGCTTTTCAAAACAAGTTGATAGTTTTAAGCAGTCTTCAAACTGAGCTACAGTATTAACATACACTTTAACAAAGCTGGAATTTAAAGTGCAGTATATAAAAGTTAAAATTATAAAAAATGCATATACACAGGTACTATATCACAATATATGTATACTATATAAAATAACTTAATCAACTGACCACATCATTAGTTGGGCCCACTGCCATGACTAATATATCTCCCATTACAGCCCCGAGTGTTTGAATTAATTCCCTTTGGCTTATAGCACTCATTTTCTTGGACACCGCTCCCTTTAATGTGAGGTCCTCACAGATGTAAAACACTGATACTCCAAGCAGGTTATGTTGTGTTCTGGCTAAATTTTCCCAGGATGCTACAACCTTCTTAGTGACTTGCAGCTATGGAAGAAAAAATCATCACTGCACTTTAATCATAAAACAAAAATTGTTATCAATACATTTCATTTTAATTTACAGTTTTCTTTCTTTTCGGGTCACACTGCCTTGGTGAACAAAAATCATTTTATAATCAGAGCATACAAGCCAATTATATATATATATATAATATATATATAATATAATATATATATATATATATATATGAGAGAGAGAGAGAGAGAGAGAGAGAGAGAGAGAGAGAGAGAGAGAGAGAGAGAGAGAGAGAGAGAGAGAGAGAGATAGAGAGAGAGATAGAGAGAGAGATAGAGAGAGGATAGAGAGAGAGATAGAGAGAGAGATAGAGAGAGAGATGAGGAGAGAGAGAGAGAGAGAGAGAGAGAGAGAGAGAGAGATAGAGAGAGAGATAGAGAGAGAGATAGAGATAGAGAGAGAGAGAGAGAGAGAGAGAGAGAGAGAGAGAGAGAGAGAGAGAGAGAGAGAGAGAGAGAGAGAGAGAGAGAGAGAGAGAGAGAGAGAGAGAGAGAGAGAGAACGAACTATAGACTTCTTCCACTTACCTGCCCACCAGGAATAACAAAGGCATGAGCAGAGTTCCCTGGTAATGTGAGAATATTTTCCAGCACAGTGGCTCCACATTTATGAAGATGATGCGTAACGTCTTGCAACTAATAACAATCAATATTAGTAATCTATATGGAATAGGTTACAACAGAAGCAATGTTGCATACTCATTAATGCTTAGTTAATTGACATTCTTTAATATCAGCAATGTCCAGAAGATAACTTCACAGATACTTTCTTAAAGAAATACAGGTAAAAAGTACATTTAGGGAAAACAGACTGGCGCAGTAGTTGGTTCCACAGGATGGTAGGCTGAATAACCCATATGGGTTTAGCTCCCTTTTTAATATAATAAAAATTCCTAATAGTTGTGAAATGGAAAAGTGAGACAGTACAGTACCTACTGTTGAGAGAGAAACATTTGTGAGAGGAGAATGTGGTGAGAGTATTTTATAATCAGTATGAAAGATTATACAGCTCAAGATCTTGAAAGTAAATGCCTTAGAATTAATAACAAAAAAGAAATATGAAACTGAAACTGAAGAGTAATAATTCAAGATCAGATGAGCTGATGAGATGTAAAGCCTTTCCCCAGAATTATATATAGAACCCTTGTAGAGGAAATTTTTTTAAGTGTAAACACAATACAGTCAACACTACAGACAAAGGTGAACAAGACAAAATCATCTATCCCCTTCTATTCTTCAAAGATGCCATCCTGTTGTACTGCTCCTTAGATACAATATTCTTAATATGAATATCAGTTTTGACTGTTTCTTCAGCTGCTTTCATCTCTCAGTATATCATCAAATGCTTTAATATCCAGAACAGATATTAGATGATCTGACCTTGCCAATGTACAGGTTGGCCATCACTAATCCGGCATCAATGGGACCTGTAGTGTGCCGGATTATAGAGTTTACTGGACTACAGAGTGGTTAGGTTAGAATACACTTAATTAACCTATCAATAGAGACTCTTTCTGCTACATCTTCCTCATTTTCATCACAGTTTTCTCCTTCACTGGCTTGTTACTGTGGATTTACAACCATCTGCACACTTTCTGAATCAGTATAATGATGAAATTTGAAATTATGCTAGCAAAAATTAGTGCCAGATTACTGATAGAACCAGATAACTGATTGCCGGATTAGTGATGGCCGACCTGTAGTAGTAGTAGTAACCTCTCTTCACCTAACTTAACCTTTGGCTTTCTCTCAATATTTTTCACAAATGATAATGATACAGACAAACAGAAACCTCATCAAGTTTCATCTCTGAAGTTCAGAACTTGAAGTAAAGGCCCAAAGTTTTGGAGATACTTGTCAAATGCTGCAATGTGATTACCCAGAACAACTCACAAGTGGCTAATTTCTAAATTCTTAGCAGAATGTTGAGGGTCAAGATAAAAAATTAAGAAAGCATGTAAATTTTCAGGAATTTGCTTCAAAGTATTAGCAAAACACTCTTGTTTACTGGACTTACTAAGTTCCAGGTGCCCCACATGGATATCTGGAATTAAAATCCAACATAAACAGAATTGAACTGCAAAGTACAAAATTCAGAGAGCTGCAGAAGGTCCATGAGTGAAGTACACAGAATTACAAACACAAAGTGGGGTAACCAACATTTGACAGAATTAGATTTTACAAGGAACCATGAGCATTTTTAACCCTTTGGGGGTTTCGGATATACTAGTACGGCTTACGACCAAGGGTTTTTGACGCACTAGTACGCCTAAATTCTAGCGCCCTCAAATCTAGTGAGAGAAAGCTGGTAGGCCTACATATGATAGAATGGGTCTATGTGGTCAGTGTGTGCAGTATAAAAAAATTCTGCAGCACACAGTGCGTAATGAGAAAAAAAAAACTTTCACTGTGTTTTTGGATTAAAACAACGAATTTGCGCTGTATTTTCATATGGTATTTATTGTTGTATTCTAGTTTTCTTGGTCTCATTTTATAAAATGGAAGACATATTACAGAAATTGAGATGATTTTGACTGGTTTTACAATGAAAAACACCTTGAAATTGATCTCAAAGTAGCAGAAATGTTCGATTTTTACCAAAGTTCAAAAGTAAACAAATCATGCCAAGCATCCAATACACATCAACTGGTGAGTCTAATATTCTTTGAAAAGTGCACTGATATTATTTATACAGTTTCTACACTAATGCAGTAGTCTGCATAACAGTAAATCTTATTTTTTTTTTTTTGCAAGAATAAAAATTCAAAGTGGAAAGCCAAAGAAATATAAGAAGGGCCTGGGGATGTGACAAACGAACAGAGAACTTGTTATTTTAGTGCCAAGAATGTCTTACTTGTTTATTCTGGACCCTATTCAGAAATTGGCATCTTTTGAAATTTGTGTGAAATTGGCAAAATTGCTAAATTCTGACCACTTTATTGGATAGTTGAAATCGGTAAATGGGTGGTTTCTTGTACTCATTCGATAGAAAAAATGGAGTGCTAGCGAAATAGTTATGATTTCTGTCGACTAGTACATTGGAATTGGCCGAAAATAGGGCTCAAAGTGGGCAAAATCGCCGACGCGTAAACATCGTCGAGACCACTAACTTCGCAAGAGCATAATTCCATAAGTTTTCCATCAAACATCATACGTTTGGTGTCATTATGATCGGGAAAATATTCTCTATCCTTTCATAAGAAAAAATAATTTTTTTTTTTTTAAATTTGGCCAACCCTGAGAACAAGTCTCTGAGAGGACCTGCCAACCCCCAAAGGGTTAAAGGAGTCTATTTTTTTTTTTAAGTACAGTAGGGCCCCACTTTACGGCATTCCACTACTACAGACATTTCAAATTATGACCAAGCTCTCTACACGGCTCCACCCACCTAACTTTCTAATAAGGTCACCGTGCCCCACCCAGTTTGTTCACATTCTCCGTGAGCACCACGTCTCTCGAACATGTCTGGAAACTTTCCAAAATTTCAAGTGTTTTAAAGTTATTTCATGTTTTATTTTTTTTTTTTCCAACAAGTCGGCCATCTCCCATCGAGGCAGGGTGACCCAAAAAGAAAGAAAATACTTTCACCATCATTCAACACTTTCACCTTACTCATACATAATCACTGTTTTTGCAGAGGTACCCAGAAATACAACAGTTTAGAAGCATATACGTACATATAAAGATATACAACATATCCCTCCAAACTGCCAATATCCCAAACCCCTTCTTTAAAGTGCAAGCATTGTACTTCCTATTTCCAGTACTCAAGTCCGGCTATATAAAAATAACTGGTTTCCCTGAATCCCTTCACTAAATATTACCATGCTCACACTCCAACAGCTCGTCAGGTCCCAAATACCATCCATCTCCATTCACTCCTATCTAACACACTCACGTATGCTTGCTGGAAGTCCAAGCCCCTCGCCCAAAAAACCTCCTCTACCCCCTCCCTCCAACCTTTTCAAGGACAACCCCTACCCCGCCTTCCTTCCCCTACAGATTTATACACTCTCCATATCATTCTACTTTGATCCATTCTCTCTAAATGATCAAACCACCTCAACAACCCCTCTTTAGCCCTCTGACTAATACTTTCATTAACTCCACACCTTCTCCTAATTTCCACACTCCGAATTTTCTGCATAATATTTACACCACACATTGCTCTTAGACAGGACATCTCCACCACCTCCAACCGCCTCCTTACTGCAGCATTTACAACCCAAGCATCACACTCATATAAGTGTGTTGGTACCACTATACTTTCATACATTCCCTTCTTTGCCTCCATGGATAACATTTTTTGTCTCCACATATACCTCAACGTACCACTCACTTTTTTTCCTTCATCAATTCTGTGGTTAACTTCATCCTTCATAAATCCATCCGCTGAAACGTCAACTCCCAAATATCTGAAAATATTCACTTGTTCCATACTCCTTTTATCCAATTTGATATCCGATTTTTCTTTATCTAAATCATTTGATACCCTCATCACCTTACTCTTTTCTATGTTCACTTTCAACTTTCTACCTTTACACACACTCCCAAACTCATCCACTAACCTTTGCAACTTTTCTTTAGAATCTCCCATAAGCACAATATCATCAGCAAAAAGTAACTGTCAACTTCCATTTTATATTTGATCCCCCATATTTTAATCCCACCCCTCTCCCAAACACTCTAGCATTTACTTCTTTTACAACCCCATCTACCCCATCTATAAATATATTAAACAACCATGGTGACATTACACATCCCTGTCTAAGACCTACTTTTACTGGGAAGTAGTTTCCCTCTCTTCTACACACCCTAACCTGGGCCTCACTATCCTCATAAAAACTCTACAGCATTTAGTAACTTACCACCTATTCCATATACTTGTAACATCTGCCACATTGCTCCCCTATCCACTCTATCATATGCCTTTTCTAATTGCATAAATGCAATGAAAACTTCCCTAGCTTTATCTAAATACTGTTCACCTATATTTTTTTTATTTTTTTTTATTATCACACTGGCCGATTCCCACCAAGGCAGGGTGGCCCGAAAAAGAAAAACTTTCACCATCATTCACTCCATCACTGTCTTGCCAGAAGGGTGCTTTACACTACAGTTTTTAAACTGCAACATTAACACCCCTACTTCAGAGTGCAGGCACTGTACTTCCCATCTCCAGGACTCAAGTCCGGCCTGCCGGTTTCCCTGAACCCCTTCATAAATGTTACTTTGCTCACACTCCAACAGCACGTCAAGTATTAAAAACCATTTGTCTCCATTTACTCTATCAAACACGCTCACGCATGCCTGCTGGAAGTCCAAGCCCCTCGCACTCAAAACCTCCTTTACCCCCTCTCTCCAACCTTTCCTAGGCCGACCCCTACCCCGCCTTCCTCCCGCTACAGACTGATACATTCTTGAAGTCACTCTGTTTCGCTCCATTCTCTCTACATGTCCGAACCACCTCAACAACCCTTCCTCAGCCCTCTGGACAACAGTTTTGGTAATCCCGCACCTCTTCCTAACTTCCAAACTACGAATTCTCTGCATTATATTCACACCACACATTGCCCTTAGACATGACATCTCCACTGCCTCCAGCCTTCTCCTTGCTGCAACATTCATCACCCATG